TCATAGTATATAGGTAGTAGAGTTTTAATTTTAAGGCAGTCACAGTCCGCAGTAGTTGTTTTTCGCGTGCCAATATTATCACAATAGTTATTGTGTGGACATTAAAAATAATAATTTTGTTTCGAAGAATGGGCAACACTGCATCTCAACTTCTCATGACCGTACCAGTACACTGGGTAGGATAAGGATGTTCCGTCTATGGTCTATAAGTATAAGGTCTATGCTAAATCGCTAAATATTTTTTGTGGGTTTTGGGATAATGTCGAATTATTTGAATATCAATAATTTCAATAACTGATTAAAAAAATATAATATATATTATTTGGTTTATTAATAGTATCGTTCAGACTTAGAGTTATTATACAAACTATACATATATTTGTTTAAATTTTAATCTAATACATATTATGTTGATTTTCAAAAACTAGGTTAGAAAATCGGAAGATATTCTCAACCTTTTAAAATTGAATTATTCGTAATACGTATTTACATCACTGCAGTTGCAGAAGATAATGAATGTTGGTCTGGATCTAGAAAATACCTTTTGGCTTTTATGTTATTTATTGGATAATTTTAAGTCTGTATATTTAAATTGTTGCCAAAAAATGCTTACCTTAATATGGACACAAAATATTGAGACCGTAGAAAGCTGAGTATAGACTACAAAACTTACACTCAGTACAATTATTATTTTCACTTGGTGCTTTGATAGGCCTACGAAAAAAATTATATGATAAAACCAGAGTTCACGATGATAGTAATTAGTAAGTTTTCAACTTACTAGTTACTGACTTAGAGCTAATGTAAAAAAATAGCATTATAAAATACAAGTATTATGTCTAACAGGCCGTAAAAAGGTCTGGTAAAACCGCTTGAAGATGATTGAAATTGCGGGCGGTGGTAAACTCTTCCGATTTTATGGTAAACTCTCCCGGGTTAATATTATGTTTACCTGAAGTAAATGTGTAAACTGTAAACTCTCCCGGGTCAAAATTATGTTTACCTAAAGTAAATGTCTAAACTCTCCCGGGTTAACTTTATAGTTACCTGTAGGAAACTAGGAAGTATGTTAACTCTCCCGAGTTGTTTTAAATGTTAAAACATTTTTTTAGGAAAAAAAAATAGATTCCCTAATTTTTTTTAAATCTGTATGTTTTTATCATCAAAAACAATAATTTTAACATTTTTACGTATATTTTGTATTTGTAACTTATATCATATTATTATTATTATTATTATTATTATTATTGACTACTTTAAACGCAACTTAAATGTATATTAAATTTATTTTATGATTTTTACTAGACCGGGGAGAGTTTACATGTTTCCATCAGGTAGTACTGAAGTAGACCCGGAAGAGTTTACCATCAGGAGAGTTTACCATCGGGAGAGTTTACAATCGTCCGAAATTTCGCTTTCCCTTTCAGAAAAAAATGGGAAAACATATTTTTCAGTTTTTTTTTTTTTTTTTGACAGATTTTATTTTATTTCTCTCTTTCCTTATCAAACTACAAACCTGAATGCCAAATGGTCATTTTTGAATATTTATAATTAGAATTGAAAATTAAAAATATTTTGATTCAAATAAAATAAGAAAAATAGAAAAGTAAAAACCACTCTGYTGTATCGTAGTTATCAATTTATAGTCTTATAGATAACATTTTAAATGACGTATTGATGAGTTAGATTTGAAATCAATACTAAATTATTGTATACGTAAAACGATTGTGGATGAGAATGGAGCCAGTGTGCCATTCATATTTGTATAAAACTATAAATAGTACAATTTAATAATTAAAAAACCTAACCTTTGAATTACACTTTTTGTTTGTTAAAGATAGAAAAAACTCATGAGGGATCTTATATTAAATTTTCAGATGTTAGCTATGAAAAGCAACACTTTTATGAATTTTTAACTGAAAAATAATTTGCAAAAGKCAATTATAAAAATGTATAATGAATGTAAGACACTCAACCTTTTTTTAATTACATTATTAACAATTATGATGAACCTCGTATTACATTTTTAAGAGTTTTTTGATCGAGCAAAAAATTATTTATCGGCAATTATTGAAAAATCAAAAACGTCTCATAGATGTAAATAGCGCCAAAATAATTAAAACAATTTTAAAATGTATTTAAATATTTTTGTCATATATGGAAATCAGTAATATTAAATCCCGGAGAAAATTTAAAATTTAAACAGTTAGGTACCTATTAGCTTTTGAGTTACACAAATAAGTCGATTTTTCAAAAATTGGTTTTGTTTAAAAATGTTTTCCAACGCTTTCAAATGTAATTCAATAAAATAATAACATAAACATAATATAATGTTATATAAATTATAATATACATATATATTTGGTATAGATATTGTTATAATGTATTACAAGCGTCTAGTGACAGGGAATCCGAATGGCTGCAGATGGCCGACTTCGTTATCATTATCAGTTATTACAAATTTTACTATYACTTCATTCTCAAAAATGTTGAGTCAAAATAATATATTTCTTTCCCTTACCTTACTTCTACTTAAGTTGTATTCTAAGTCTAATATACTAATTCCAAGTTTATTATACTATAGTGATGATAGTAAAGTATCTGATTACTTTATCTTATTTTAAATATTGAACAGGTAAAATGAACTCGTTACATTAAATACTTCTAAAAATATTTGTGTTTGAACGAATGATTATCAAAAATCAATTTAAAAAAAAATTGTTAAAYAACTTGTCTGTTTAATTAAATGTACAATACTGTGAAAGTTTACACCACTACTTATTTGAGTTTAAAATTTTAAATGTTTTATTCATCCCTTTTCTTGATGTACCTACTAACCTGGAATATTGTTTTAATTTGTATTTTGTATTTTGTTTATTTTGTTTATTTATTTTTATTATGGTTTTCGTTAATTATGTTATGGAGGCCTATGTGGTGGCTATGGATGTCATTCTCGGGATATATGGATTTTTCAATGTATTATGAAGGTTATAGCTTATTAATAATTAACTGGAATATTATCATTTTTGATAATTATAGAATATTAATAAACTTGGAATTATAAACAATATAATATAATATTATTTATTATAATTACATATATAGGTATATCATTTTTAGAATAAAGTGATAGTAAAATCTGYGATAACTGATAATGATAACGAAGTCAGCCATCTTTCAACCATTCGGATTCTCTGTAACTATATAAACGCTTATTAATATGTATCACGATTTAGGGAAGATAATATCTTCTCTATATATTGATAAATGATAATGTATAGAGGGTGATTCACCAAGCATGCTCGCTCCCTTTTTTCTTTAATAATGCAGTTATTCAAAATCTGATTTTTAGAATCTTTAAAGTCCATATTTACAAATTCTTGAGATTTTTTTTGTACCACTTAAGGAATGTGCTGTGAGCTTGTGACTAATGTTTTTCAAA